CTCCATCATCATGGTTATGAGCTTTATTTTTAATTCTTTTTCAGGAAGACTGGTTAGGTCTATCTCCTTCTCAGGGTTTGCCTCTGTGATCTTGGTCTGTATCAATTTCTTCTGCCTTTTCATGGTGATAGATATATTTGTGGGGAGCTGGCGTATGTGTTGGGTAAGAGAAAGTCCCTTCTTGCCAGTTTGTGGCCTTCCTCTCCTGGGAGAACAGCGGCCTCTAGCGGCTTGTGCTGGGCAGCTGTGTGCAGACAGAACTTCTGATCTTGCCCGGCTGCTATGGAGTTTAGCGCTGCAGTTGCTGTGGGCGTGGCCTGCCTCAGGCTGCTTGTCCAATGTGGTGGAGCCGCGTCACAGGGGGAACAGGTGGGAGGCTGTTTACCATGGTGAGACCTCCATGCTGTGTTGCGGGGGTTTGGGTGCCCAGAGTTCCCCGTGATTCCCAGCTGCTGGGCTAAGGGTCCTGGGGTGCTTCTGTCTAGCTGTGGGGTCCCTGTCCCTTTAAGACTTTCAAAAAGCACTCGCTTTTCTTTGTTTCAGGGGTACCGGCTGTGGGGACCGGCTCACAGGTCTTACTGTCCTGTTTCCCTAGTTTCCAGCACCCCACGCATGCACTGTGTCTGCGCTCTGGTCCGGATGGCTAGGGCTGAGTGATTAGCAGTCCTGGGCTCCCTCTCCCTCCCTGCTCTGACTCCTCTCCTCCCGCTGGGAGCTGAGGTGAGGGGCGTTCGGGTCCTGCTGGGCTGGGGCTTATATCTTACCCACTTCATGAGGCGCTGGGTTCTCCCGGTTTTGGATGTAGTCTGGCTGTTGTCCTGTGTCTTCTGGTCCCTCCTTTAGGATTAGTTGTATTTGTTGTATTTTCAAAAAAATATATATGGTTTTGGGAGGAGATGTCCGCTGCTTTACTCATGCCGCCATCTTGGTTCTCTCCCTGTTTTGTTTTTATTTTAAGTTTTGATAGTAGCCATTCTAATGCAAAGTCCAAGTTGACCCATGAGTGATTCCTCCTGTACATTTTCTGTATATTTTCATCAAGTTTTCTACTGATTCCAACTTTGCATAGCCTTGGTCATGAAGAAAAAAGAAAAATTAATCTTGTGACTTCTTGTCATTTCAAGTTATCATTGTAAGTGATATACTTGGAGACAAATATATTATTTTGAAAGACTTGGATTTAGAAAGAACATGTGTTTTAGAATCAAAGAGACCTCAGTCCATCCCTCTGTCCCTCCATCCATCTATCCATTCACCATTTATCATGCAATTTAAAAGACAGGGCATTATGCTGGTTTATTGTTTAGTAATTGTCAAAACAGGCTTTGGTAAAGTATGACCTGGGATTTCTGGGGCAAATTAAAACCTTCTGAGCATCAGTTTTATTATTTACAAATGAAAATGGTACTCAGCTCCTCAGGTCTAGGGTTACATACCTGCTTCCGCTCCTTCATTTACTCTGACTTCCTCTCTCACTGCTTTGTAGCCCTTGCTGCTGTTCCTCTGTTCACTGGAAGCTTCCAGAATTCTGTGAACACTGGATGGCATTAGCCCTTCCCTGGGACCCAGCAGTTGGTTTGCCCAGCTGGCAAGAGCAGGCCACTGGGTAAACATGTCTTGGGCTCTCTTGTGTTCAGATGCTCAAATTCAGGGAACAGGTGTCCCAGTGGTCATTGTGCTCATTTTACCAAGGATTATCAATGACACCATTTCAAAGATGGGCATGCCATGAGTATAACTCAATGGGGTCCTAAATTCCTAGTGCTTTTTCTTTACCATAACAAACATCCTGGGACTATCTGGAGGCAGATGTTCTGGGAGGCAGAACAAGATGAGTGGGCCTGCAGTAAAGCTTTGTTTTATTTGTCACCATAGCCTGTAGGATACTTACCACTGCATTTAGCGCTGCCCTGTATGACTGCTAATTCTTGGTGCAGCAGGGCCCTAAGGTGAGAGCACTGGACAGACCGGTAGAGTCAGGAGACTTTGGGGCTGGTCACTCTGCCACTTGCAGGGGTTTCTGGAATGTCAGCTTCTTTGAACCTCAGTTTCCTTGGTTATGAAGGGAAAGTTATATGGTTTTGGGAGCAAGTGAATGAAATTAATGTAGGTGAAAATTCATTATGAGTAAGAAGGTACAAGGCAACATAAAAATAGTAACTAGCACTGCTACCACACTTGTTATGTGTGACAGGAACTCTTCCAAGCTGTCTATATATGGTAACTCATCTAACATAATGCTCACAGCCACCTGTGAGAAAGATGCTGGTAATATCACCATTTAACTGATAGCAAACTGAGGCACAGAGAGGTTAAGTAACTTGTGGGAAGTCACACAGCCAGCAATGGCACCAGGGTTTGAACCAGGCAGTGAGGTGCCAGAATCTGGGCTCTCAACTGTCATATTTTGCTGCTTCTGTAAGGCATCAGCACTTTTTTTTCTGTTTGTTTCTTTCCTCTTACATAGCTGGGAGGGGAAGGAACACAACCCCTGGTTTGGAGAACATCAAGCAGAGCCTCTTGCATTCCCCTGTTTGACATGAACTGATGCCTAAGTTGTATCACAGCCAGCTCTCCAGGTCCACTCGCAGGCAGAGCTCAGATAGTGAAAGTATGTATTGTTCAATGAGTACAGCTGGATTATGCAATCAGGTCTCACATTGTTTGGGGAGTGTGCTAGCATTTGGTTTCAGATCGTTTGCTTTCCAGGCCGGGATGAAAATGCTGATGTGCTTAATAGACCAACAGGCAAGATGCTGGAGGGTCAAAGGAGTGCTGAGCTTGTGTCCCCAACTGCATGCTGATGTGTTGGCATAGCTCAGGGCAATGCCAGCTGCTCTGCTATACAGAAGAGCTGGGATGCTGTGTTGTTTTGCCCACATTCAAGTCAAACTTTCCACGGAATATCAGGATTTCATCCCAGGTTGGCCCAAAGATCATGGAGACAGATCTCTGACAGATGCAGGGAGAGATGACCTCTCAACCTAGGATTCTCTCCACATGCAGTTCCAGCTGAACCAGTGGGATTGGTGTGTTTATGCTGCTTTCTCTTTTCTTCCCAGGCATCCAGGATTGCTTGTCCCTCCAGCATTTTCACTGAGGAAGCGGCTGGCTCGGTGGCCAGGCTACATGAGAAGTACAGCTGGACCCCGAATCAGGTTCCCCTCCCCAGCAGGCAGCACACCATTCCAGGCCCAGGGATGGGGGTGCAGTGAGGTGAGGAGTCCCACCACTCTGAGTCCAGGGCCAGACAGTGTGGCCTTGGCCCTGGAGGCCTGTGGCAAAGCCCCTCTGTTGGGAGCCCTGTTCCCAAGAGCACAACAGCCTTGGCTCCAACCTCTGTGAGCCACCTCTTCTGGGCTCCAACCCATGTGAGAAGAACTTCAGGGCTCTTCAGGATTCAGCTCAGAGGTGGCAGCAAGCTTCTGGACAGGCTAAGCAGGTTTGGTGGCCCTGGGGATGTGGGGTCTCAGGGGGACCCTTCAGCCATGGATAGTCTGGAGGCCCCGGGTGCTAGCTGGGAGGCACCCTGTGGCACAGGAGCACCTGGCACCTGGAGAAAAGGCTGTCTGTCCTCAGAGGAGGTGAGTGGCGGTAGCTGTAGCTTTGGAAGTGGCCCCAAGGCTCCCTCAAGTCCAGCTGGCTCTGAGAATGCCTTCACCTCAAGCTTTAGTTTCATACAGCTCTCACTTAGCTCTGCTGGGGAACATGGAAAAGCAGAAGGCTGCCTGCCATCCAGAGAGGCTGAGGCCCCTCGTCAGAGTCCAGAGGAGACAGAACGCAAGGCTGCCAGCTTGGACCAGCCCCATGAACACCCTGGGCTTCTCTCTCCCCACTTCACTCTCAAGGTGGACTCAGCCCAGGCTGCAGGTGGCAGCCCCAGGCTAGAGTGTGGGATGCCTTCTTTGCTGGACATGGACACTGCCTCCTGCTCCCCAGATCCCTCATCATTCAAGGGCAGCAGCCCAGAGGACACTCATGGTTGGGAAACATTGCTCAGGAGGTGCGAGCCTGTCCTCCTGGGCTGCCTGCTGAGCAACCAGAGGCGGCTGGAGGTTGGTGTCCCCCAGCCTCAGGGGCCCCGCGGTTGTCACAGGCTCGGATTAATTCTGGGCAGAGGGAAGGAACCAGGGGCTCTGGGGCTGACCAACTTCCTCCCAGAAGCTGCAGCAGCTGCTTCTGTTACTGGCTGTTAGATGATGCCGTAGTTCTGTTTCTTCTCTTTCAGTTCGAACACAAACCTGCTCTTGTTCTCATCTTCCCTGTTGCTCACTTGCTCAAATTTGCTGTCTATGCAGCTCCAGGTTCCTCTGCAGTCCCTGGCCTCAGATGTGCAGTTAGCTCAGACTAGCTCTGCTTTGAAATAAGCCAGGGGCCAGGCAGCTGGGGAGATGGGCTGGCTGGTGGGTGGACAGGGCTGAGCATCGTAAAGCTGGCCATGCCCATTGTGGCGGCATCCTGAGCTTCACTTGCATTTCCTCCTCTCATCTCGTGTCCTGCATCCCCCTTGGGAACTGCGTGACACAGAGGCAGGTGACTTCATTTCTGGGCATTAACTCTTGGGCCCTTGGTTTCCTTAAAGATGGTTAAAACTGTAAAACTGCACAGGAAGGTTCTGGATCTCCAGGAGAATATAAGTGCTTTGGAAATCAGGATAGACAGAGCATTATGACGGTGGTTATCAGAGAGGTGGGTACAACTGTGAGTACATGGGGTTGTACTACTCCGAAAAGTTCCCAGAGAAATCCAGCTTGGTAGTTGCCCCACTGGGCCTGGGACTATCCCACTGAGAGACTGTTTTCCCCCTGGAGTATGTGTGTGTGTGTGTGTGTGTGTGTGTGTGTGTGTGTGTGTGTGTGTGTGTGTGTGTGTGTGTGTGCATGTGTGCATACATTTGTGCATATGAGCAAGGGGGTAGAGTACCTGCATTTCAGGCTTTGGCAGAAGTACCTGAAAATGTGCAGTTCATTTTCACTCCCAGCAATTGTACTTCATTTACTTCCTTTATGTGAAGCCTGACAAGACTGACCCTATCCTTCTTTGCCCTGCTTGGGCCTTCAGGGACCCTGGCCCATCTATCTGATTTATAACTTGGGGAGACAGTTGGAGCCAGGCTGGATAATGCCAGGTGAAGCCAGAGTTGTGGAGTTAGGTGTGCTCAAAGCCAATGCTGTCATCTTTCCCACCAAACCTGTTCTAAAGGGCCTCACTTTTGTGAGTATTTGTTGATTTGAATTAATACAATTCTCCTTGATCCTTAGAGAAACTGCAACCAGCTTCAACACCTCTCTCATACAATCTGCTCAGTGCCCAGCCTTCTCAGTCCTTCAGCTAACCTGCCTCTCGTGGCAACAGCCACTGCCCCAGTTCACTTCCTTGTTATCCTACACCTGGGTTCTGCAAGAGATTCTTGACATATTTACCTTCTTTCAGTATCTTCTCCAATTCATCCTCCACATGGCCAGCAGAGCTATCTTCCAGAAGACCAGTGGGAGAGTGTTATTCCTTGCCTTGAAACCCTTGGTGGCTTACTGCTCCTCTTGGGATGGTATCCAAGTTCCTTATCTTGGTAACTGAGGCCTTTCCCAGCCTGCTCCAGCCTGCTGCCACACCTTTCCTCCTGCTGGCTCAGCCATCTGGTACTGCTTCCTGTTCTGGAGGACACCAGGAGAGCCATGTTAGGCCTTAGCTTTCCATTTTTCCTCTGCCTGGAATGACCTTGCTTCACTTTTTCACTTGCCAAGCTCCTACTTACCCTTTGGTGTGGCTCCAGAGCCACTTCCTTGTGAGATATTTCCTACCCCTTTGAGATCAAATGAATTCCTCCTTCCATTTTGTTCCCATAGCACTTTGGACATGCCTCATTGTAGCATTCACCACATTTAATGATCATTTATTTATGGGTCCAGGTTTTGTATGTGACTATGAGCTCCATGCTTACATGTCACTTCTTTTAGTCTAGTGACATTTTTGGATGCCTGCTGCTTCACATACTTCCTGGCACTCCACAGATGCTCGATTCATTTTTGTTTTAGTGAAAAGATTAACCTTGTTAAGATGGACCACAGTATCTAGGACGACGGTTTCTTGGGCTGACTTGTCTAAGGCATAAGAAGAGAATCTGAGAGGCAGACATACAAAGCACAAAGGCATTAAGTGGTCTAGCCATTTATTCTGACGTGGAGGGGTGTTTCTCTATTTCCAAAAGTCTGTCACATCAGCTGGGTGTCCTATTAGTCAGTCAGTTCTGACACGATCCACCCGGAGATTGCATCAGATCCTGCAGGTTAAGGGCTCAAACTCCACAAGATGCCTGCCTTCAGATGCCAATCACAAGTCCAAGTCATGACCTGTGCTTCTGACTGGCCCGTTATAGATCCGAGGTTCCAACAACCCTTTTGTTGGGTCCAGCTAATTTGCTATGGGAGCTCACAGGACTCAGATAAGCATTTTACTTACTAGATTACCTGTATATTATAAAAAGCTATAACTCAGGAACAGACAGATGCACAGGGCAAAGTATGGGGAAGGGGTGCAAGGCTCCCATGTGAAAGGAGGTTCCTGGCAGCTGGAGCTGCATGCCACACCAGCGCTGCCTGGGGAGGCTGTTTGCCCATTGTGCTTGTGTGGAGGCCCTGGACTGTTCCTACCACCAGGAAGCCTCTGGGACTGGGGAAAGGGCTGGTCTAAGGACCTTTGGAAACATCTTTTGAAAGATTTGGAGTACAGTGTCCTGGGCCTTTGAGAGTATATTCTAATTCCTTAACCCCTCTCTCTCTAAGTACAGTTGATCCATGGTATCATGGATTTTGTATGTGCAAATTTGCTTATTGATACATTATTGGTAACTCCAAAGCTGATGTTTGCAGTGTTTTCCTGGTCACCTGTGAATAAGTGCAGTGTGGTTAAAAATTTGAGTCGCCCAGTGTGTACTTTCCCAGCTGAGGTGGAGCTCGGTGAACCTCTGCCTTCTGTTTCAGTGCTGATCCTGTGAAAAGTGTCCTTTTCTGGTCTCGTTAGTGTCATGTTTTCCCTTTTTTTGGGCTTTTTGTTGGTGATTGCACAGTTTAGGATGGCCCCCAAGCATAGGGCTGAGGGCTGTGTAGTGCTGCTAAGTGTAAGAAGGCTGCTACATGTGGGGTAAACTTCATTCAGGCAGGAGCTACAGTGCTGGGGGCTGAGAGTTCAGTGTTAGTGAAATCAACAATATATATTACATAAGGTATCTTTAAACTGAAACATATATAAAGTGAGGTTACGTATCAATCAGTTGACAAAAATATTGTGACCAGAGGCTCTCAGGGGCCTAACCCCGTGTCTCCTCTGGAAGCAGTGGTTTAGTATTTGCTGACTGAATACCCCTGGCCACTTTATAGAATCTAACGACCATGAATGGGAATTGACAGTATGTGTATTTTATGCAGTTAAGAAATAGGTGCCTGGGGACAGCGCCAGGGATTGGGTAGGGCTGAGAGAATTTTGATAAAAGGAAATGTTAGTTAGGTGTGCAGAGGGGGAAATAAGGAGGGAAATGGGCCTGCAAGTCAGGCCCCCTCAGGGTGTGGAAGCTGGAGGGAAAGGAGGACACTGCCGTCTCTCATGGCTGTGTCACTGGGTAAGACATGCCCATTAGTGGCTCTGCTTCCATTCAAACATATCCTGGAGCATCAGTTCATGGTCCCACAGGGATAACTGGATGAGGGAGGTAAGGTGAGGTGGGTGATGGCTCTAAATGAAGTTTTCTTTGACCTTCTTTCCTATAGTTTTTCTGCTTCAGCTGTAGGAAATATTTACTAATACCACCGTTTGGGTGTGGTGATGATAATGCTGTGCTTTATGTAGAAACTGAACCACCCACACAGACTTTCTTCTATTCCTAATATGTAAGACTAAATTGCTGATAAAATTTGCATTTGTAATATGGAACAATTCAAGGATAAAAGGGTTAAAGTGACCATTCACTCATTCATTCATTTAGAAAACTTTTGCCTCCTACGCCTAGCACAACACCTTGTGCCTGGCTTTGGAGATGGTGTGAGTTAGGATAGGTTAGAACCAGTCAGCACGATATCAGAGGGTTAACATAACAAAATTGTGTTTCTTGCTTATGCTGCATGTTCCACAGTGGTGGCTGGGGCTCTGCTCCATAGAGTCACTCAGGAACTCATCCTGTGCCTCTGAACATACGGCCCCCTTGGTCACTGAGAAAGCAGGAGAACACTAAGGGATCCTGCAACATCCATTCAATGCTTCAGTGCAGAAGTGATTGCTCTCCCTGCCATTTACACCCCATTCACAAAGCACGGTGGGAGGGTAGGGTGACCTGTTTGGTGCCCAGAACAATGAAGGACCAGATAAGGGTGGGTGCTGCCCCTTTCCACACAGACACAGAATAGTCCTGTCCGCCACATGGAGTGCACAGACAAAACAAAGCAAAACAAGAGCCATAACATGGTGTGATAAGTACTAAGATCATTTCTGGCAAGCCCGTTCTCCAGTGGCTCAGATTAATCACCCAGCATCATCCTGACTCTTTTTCACCCCCAACATGCAATCTCTTAGCAAATCCTGCTGGGTCTATCTTCAACCAATCATCCTCTGAAATATCCAGAATCTGATCGCTTCCCACCATCCTCACTGCTCCCATGACCATCAGAGCTACCATCACCTCCTTCCTTGGTGGTTTCTGTGGCCTCCTGCCTGGCCACTCTACTTCTGCCCTCCACAGCAGTCAAAATGAACCTGTTAAAACATCAGTCAGATCATGTACTCTTTTTTTTTTTTTGAGAAGGCATCTCATATTTATTGATCAAATGGTTGTTAACAACAATAAAATTCTGTATAGGGGACTCAATGCACAATCATTAATCAACCCCAAGCCTAATTCTCAACAGTCTCCAATCTTCTGAAGCATAACGAGCAAGTTCTTACTTGTGAACAAGTTCTTACATAGTGAATAAGTTATTTTCTTACATGGTGAACAGTGCAAGGGCTGTCATATCACAGAAACTTTCGGTTTTGATCACGCATCATAAACTATAAACAATCAAGTCAG